CTTAAACATTGTTCTACAAAATTAATTGAATAAAGATTGGCACCTGACAAACTAAGTTTTTCGGCAAATATTTACCGAAATTTATCCGTGCTAATAAACAACTTCGCAAAATCTGCACGCTAAACTATAGTCCACCTTAGTGTCACCTGAATTTCTTTTTTATCATAAACTTCATTCTGTAAGTGGCAGCGAAGATAGAGCCGCCTAAAAAGTGCATTGAGATCCACTAAGGTACAGGCACAGTAGAGCCTACATTTCAGGCTTAAAGTGCTCCCTAAGGTGGTGAATGCCCGCCAAGTAGGACATGGCGAATGGAGCTGACTGAAGAGCAATGGCGGTGGTGGTGGTGGTGGTGGTGGCTGCAGTGGTGATGGTGGTGGCTGTGGCGCACCTCTCTGCACTCTCTGGAGACACCGCCGCTATTGCTCCAATGCTATCGATCGCCAGACGATGATTACGCTGAGATGCGCACTGCAATCATAAGTAATAATAATAATAATAGCGGCAGTAATCTGCAGTAATATTATTGACAAATAAATTCATGCATTTGATGAGACCGTGTCAGCAGTGAAGAGAGGAGGAGGAGGAGGATGCCATCACCATCACCACCACTTGATGGATCACTGACCGAACGGCGGTGCTGGAATCACTTTCCCAACGAGTTCCGTTGCCAGTCCCCACCATCACCACCATCACCACCAGCAGAAGCAACAGCAGCATCCGCAGCAGCACCATCTCATTTGTCTCACCTCTCTCGACCTGACCACTGCTGACCGAAAGAGCGCTATTAGCGGTGCTGATGATCTGTCAAGAAAGGGGAAGAAAGAGATAGGAGGAGGAGGAGGGCAGATGCAGGCAGTGGTGGCGGTGGTGGTTGTGAAGCCTCTGCTTCTGTTGTTGTAGTACGGCCAGGTCACAGCGAAACTTCAATTGTTCGCCAGACTTTGCCACGATTCAGATCCACTTGTCCGAGGCTGACACGAGCGATTGGCACAGAGACAGGCAGGAGGCAGCAGGCAAAGCGACCGACCGACAGTGGGAGCACACTTTCTCTTTCTTCCCTCTCTGGCTCATGTATCCCATTTTTCCACTTCAAATTGCTCCCGCGTCCGTTTATCCTTGTCCTAAATTGCGCCGAATTATACTGTTCTATACACACACAGGCTCACTGAAAAGGAGAAAGAGAAAAAAGAGAGGCAGAGAGCACCGATCGGAGCAAGTGATCGAACTCTCCCTACGTGTAGAGTGGCTGCTGCCGTTGCTCCTATCGAAGCAGCTACCACGCACTTTTTGTGTGGGGTAAAAAGGATTGGCCCCGTTCGCCTTGCAAGCACTCACTGGCTGCTACTGCTTACCATGGCGTAACAATTACGCCAACTGTTCCTGCTCAGGGATACCACCGCCACCGCTGCTGCTGCTCATGGGCCAATTGTGCAATTGTGGAACCTTTGGTGATGGCTGCTGCAGCTGTTGCAGAAGTGTGAGAGGCAACCATTCGTGCTTTGGCGATTACCTTTCTCGTCAGAAGCAATTTGTCAGGCTATTCGAAAGTCTCCTTCTTAGCGCGCCTTTTAAATCAAAAGCAACATGAGCGTAATCTGGTGACGGCAGTTTGAAAAATAAACTTTTCTCAACATTTCAGTATGTGCAGCATTTATAAATATTTTTAAATGAAAAAACAAATACAATTCGGTATTACCTAGTTTGGTTAGATGATTGGAAAGACGATGATGATGAGGATGATTAGAAGAGTTTCAGGTGGCCCGTTACTTTGTCAATGAGATCTCCTCGGGCAGGTCCAATTCCACCGACCGTTCGCGTACCGCTTTCTACCTGCGTCCGGCCAGCGTCTTGAATAACAACGCTGATGAGGCCTGATTGCTTTGCATTCCGAACAACTTCCAACAGTTCTTGTTCACTGTCCACCTTGAGCACCACTTTCCGCTGTCCACAGTTCATCCACTTTTTAAGTAAACCTTTATCTTTACGAGCTTGAATGTATGCAGAGAGCTGTTTGCACGAAAGATAAACATTATAAAATGCCTGATGAAACAACTAAATACAACTTACCGAAGCATGTGAANTATCTTTACGAGCTTGAATGTATGCAGAGAGCTGTTTACAAAAAAGGTAAACAATATAAAATGCCTGATGAAACAACTAAATACAACTTACCGAAGCATGTGAACATTGTGCGCAAGCTTTTCCCTTGCCCATCTTAAGATCATTGCGGACAATAAGCACCATTTTATATTCTGGATCGCCGCTTAGATATGGCTCATGTGTCTCCATCACGGTAGATAGCACTCGAGAAGAATTTTGTCCAAGATAACGAGCCAACGCTCCACGACCAAAGTAGCCAAGAGATATTCCGACTCCAATACCCGCTAAAAGGTAACTGATTTCTCTTGACTGAAGTGAGTTTAGCAGAGAAATCATAGTCTTTTTGCCGACGTTGCGGATTTTTTTTTGTGTTGGATCAGATATACTTTGGCGATTGACGTTGGACAAACGATACCGGTGCAACGAAAATGTTACGATAATTTGATGCTCTTACGGAGGCAGCTGATACAGATTGTATTTTGTGGGCTGAGTTCGACTAATAAATTGTCGAGAGACGGAAAAGAGAAGGTAAATAATTAAGTTCCGCCTACTTTGGAGATCGGCACACTTTGCTTCTTTATTTTTTGTTGCGCAAATCTTCAGCGCATGCTACAAAATTGCAAAACAAATCAACAATTAAAGCCGTCCGCAGAAGATGTTTTTCCAGAAACTTCACCAACTAAACGTTAGATCAAAATTAGCTCCTTGATAAAAGCTAGTCACCAGTCAAGGGCATCTTATGTTTATCGGTGAAGTTATTTAGGCTGGAGATTTTACAAAGATAAACTTGAAACATTTCTTTCGGTCAGATTACGAAATAATTTGTCCGTATTTTACGAAAGGCCACTTTAAGGCCGATTCGCCGCCGTCAAAAAGCAGCTAGCGCCGCCTGCCCAAAGTGAAATTAGTTAACCGTTGAGAAAATGGCACCTTTGGCTGTGCATTTGTTAGCATTACGTAAGAAATGCCTTTTGCACAGCAAACGGTGCTGGGCTGCAACAAAGAGCTAGAGTTAGATTCTAACAGAGGGCGATAGGAGTTGCGAGTGTCATCGGCCGAAATTATAAGCACATTTTTCATCAGTCTTTTCAGACAGTCGCTTTTCGGGGTTCTCACTTGCCGCCTGACAAGCGTGTTTTCTACGCCGCTGCCTCCCTCGCCGGTCCAATTGGATTCACCTCCGCTTTTGGCCACATCGATTTGCCTTCCTCTGTCGTGACTTGCCGTGGTACTGAGCGTTCTGAACTTGGCAGACATCACTGTCCGATCAGCCTCGCCACAAGCTGCCAAATTCCGAGTAATCACACTCCTCTACAACAAACCGTCAAAGTCAATCGATATGGCAACTACTGTCAAGTAAGTTTACAACAAAACGGCAGCTTCTGGAGACTCTAACTTACCATCTCACTTTCTTTTAGGCCTGCTCCCGTCAAGTGGGCTCAGCGAGCTGATCTTGTCTATGTCAACTTCGAAGTCCAAGACGTGGAAAATCCTGAGGTCTCAGTTGAGGAAAACAAGGTCACTTACAAGTATGTTTGGAGCAATGCATTCTTATGTCAGTTACATCAGAACTAATTTTGATTTCTTGTATTCAATCACAGGGCAACAACCAAAGACAAGCAAAAGTTCGAGACCGTTTTGAACCTTTTCGGCGCTGTGAAGCCCGGCGACTCCAAGTGGATCAACCGAGAGCGCGGTGCTGAGTTTGTTCTCATCAAGGCAGAGCAGGGTTTCTGGAAGCGACTTCTTAAAGAAGACACCAAATACCATTGGCTCAAGGTGGACTTTAACAAATGGAAAGATGAAGATGACAGCGAAGACGAGAGCGCCGCTGCTGGCGGCCCAGGAGGTGGCACTAACTTTGAGGAGGTTTGTTGATTCACTTTGGAGCACTTTGGTCTCTAGAGAACATAATGATACTTCCTTTTTTAGATGATGAGACAGATGGGCGGTCTTGGCGGCGGCGGTGCTAGTCCTTTTAACGATTTGGATGACCTCGATGTCGGCGGGGTAAGGATAGGGAAGAGGGAGTGTTTATCTGATGATAACTGAGCGTTTATTTGCAGGATGGAAATGAAAACGACAGCGACGACGAGCAAATTCCCGAGCTGGAAGGCGAGGCTGAAAAATAGATATTTCCACAAAACTGTCCAGTCATGATGTCAACACAAATTGTAACTTACTGCTTCGAGTTGTCTAACACTCGAAACTTTCTTCCTTCATCATATTCCAAAAATCACCTTTTTACTACCTTTGTACGTTAGAACAAATCAAATTTGATTGAACTAAGATCACACCCTCTCCAGTCTTTTGTATTGGGCATCAAAAGCATGGTTAAGCAGCGAATTAATATCAAGATTGCTCTTTAATGAAAATAAGTAGTATTTGTACAAGAAAAATCTTTTCTACAAGTGTGTGTGTAATACTTTGAAGCTGGGTTTAATACTCGTTAGTGATCTCAGATGCTCTCGCACTGTTTGGTGTTTAGGGATTTTTGCCAGTATTTTCATTTGAGCGATGCGTGCTCGCGTTTACCGCCGCACGTTCTCTATTTACTTTGCGCGAATCACAGTGTACTGAGGGCATTCCACTTGAACATGGCTGTGGTTTGAAGCGTTCCGGATGTATAAACCTGTTCTTGAAAATCTCCACAAGTTTGCGTATAGCTTGTAAGCAGAACCTCTCTTCAAGATGGTGCTCTGCTGGGGTACTTGCACTGGGCAGAGATGATTCCGAGGGAAGAGGACTGCCGGAGATGAACAAGGGAAGACCGAGAAAGGAGTAAACGCTGAGGACAGCTAAACAAAGGCAAATCATGGTTTCAGTTTGGCGGGAAGTAAAGTGGTAATCGAGAAGTAATGAGATTCATCTCGGAAATGGTTCGCCTTATATAGAGCAGTACCACCACCACCACCTTGTTTACGTTAATAAGCACTTATGGTGGTGATATCTCTAGGGCTAGCCTTGCCTGCTGCCGTCTCTCTCTCTCTTGTCAGCAGACTTGTGATCGCCCGGTATCGAGAAGTACATCAGACAGACCCTGTACACGACGTCTCAGTTGATCAGCGGACACTGCTTCGCCACTCCAACACGCCCTGATTGGGTGATGGTGACAATTCCCAAAAAGATCCCCATTGTCCTCATTAAGCTGCTGCTGCTGTTCTCGTCGCACACACACACTTAACTGGTTCAGATGACACCACCTTCTCTCGATTACAGGACAATTACGCACGAGACGAGNTAATTAATTAAGCTGCTGCTGCTGTTCTCGTCGCACACACACACACTTAACTGGTGCAGATGACACCACCTTCTCTCGATTACAGGACAATTACGCACGAGACGAGAAAAGGTATAATCAGTAGTCCAGAGCAGTTGCATGCCCTAGAGGACACTTATTTTGTGTGAAATCTTTTATTTTGGATTAAGGCTGACTGTTTACTTTTATAGGAAATAGTAGTAGAATGAACGACAGTGGGTAATCGATTTCCGGTGGTGTGACATCGGGTTTGTGGTGTGTTTTAATTAAGTTTAGTTTCTGGGCTAGCGACGATTGGCCAGTGGTGTGGCACAGGCTGCACAGCTGCCATGGACTGCTCTCTAATAGCTCGTGCAAATGCATTGAGGGTTTGTGCTTTGTAGTGTTTTGCAATGTAGCGGTAGATACTTCAGATTGTGCTCAGCAGGTTGATTAGGACTATTTTTAGTAGTCGTAGCAGTCGTACAGGGTAGCTGTGCTGGCGGAATGCGACACCTACTTGAGGGCAAATGTTGTCGCCTTCTTCACTGATTTGCCACACTTTTAATCTACGGATTTTTCCAAGGGTCTGAATCTCTTCTGCCATCATCTGGCGATCGAGTTGCCGGATTCGGATTTAGATCTCCCTTTGTTCGATCTTCATCGCCGTCCTTTCGTTCTGGACACCTGGCTAGAATGCCGGTAAAGCACGGCGCGCTTGGATTGTACTCTCTGCGGCGTTCCTTCATTGCGTTCTCCCAGCTTCTTTGCTGCTCATGTGTTGGGCATATGGCGAAGATTTGACATAACGCGTAAACTGGCAAAACTCTTGTGAACCGTGCTTTTGCAAAAGAGGGTCGCTCCATTCTGAGAAAAAAGTAATGAACAGATTCCATAATGAAACCATAGTCAGCCAATCAATACACACAGCCTGGCGTGCTAAAGGAAACTTACCCTAAATTCTTAAACACTGGCAAGTGTTTGCCCAGCACTGTCGGTTGATCAATTACCAACGACAGGAGAAGCATGGCACAAGTGAGGCGAAGAATCATCGTGGTGGGAACACATTAACTGTAACTTTTGCAGTTGGCAGTCTGTTTGAGTTTGAGTTTGAGTTGCGTGAGTTGGCAGCTATGACTGCTCATCGATTAGTTGGAGCCATTTTATAGTTTTGTCGGCCCGACCCTCTGCAAAAACAGATTAACAGTAGTACTTCTCGTGGCTTATCGGTTCAAAAATGCGCTTCCCTCGTGAGGCACTCAACAGTTCCTTGGTTGTGGCGACTTTTATAAGAGTCGGTAGAATTGCACCGGACAACGGGTCTTGTAGATGATAACTTGTTAGCATTTATTCTATGAGAAAAAAGCCATAACTGAGGCAAGGAGGGATGGAAATGATGCAAAATCTGATGATGATGATGATGGACAGGTGAAAAACAGTGCCCATTGAAAGCATCACAGGGATCTGCAGCGACAGTGAACAATTGCACTGATNACTATAACTGAGGCAAGGAAGGCTAAAAATGATGCAAAATCTGATGATGACGATGATGATGGACAGGTGAGAGACAGTACCCATTGAAAGCATCACAGGGATCTGCAGCGACAGTGAACAATTGCACTGATGACTGACTTTGACTTAATTAAAAGTGACAAGCAGGCAAACAGTTGCAGGGGCAGAGGATTACTTGCCACTCATCTACAAGTTCGGGGGTCGAAACTACCCAATAGTGGCGGAAAAGGAGCAAGTACAACATTAAAACTTTTATTATTTGGTGCTCAAAAGTAAGTAGTGCAGACAAAGAGTGTGAGTGTGTTGCAAGACTAATTGCTCATTATAGAGAAGAGCAATTGGGTTGCTTATAGTGTTGCTGCTGCTGTATATGATGACGATGCAGCATTCATCATCTATTCCTGGTGTCTCGTACAACTGGGGCTCGATGTCGTGGCCAGCAGTGGTCGGCGGTGTTGTGGACACCAGCAGGTTCGTTTGTAATGCAGATCAAAGTGTGATGAGTGAGTGGTGGGATGTTGCTGAGGATGAACACAGTGCAGGCTCACGGATTCTTGAAGTTGTCGCCATTGTTATTACTATTGATGGCGCCCTTCTCCTTGTTTGTCTTTGATTGTTGGCAGTTACTGCTCAGGATTCCGCTCAGGCACTCGCGTTTTCGAAGATTACGAGCTTTTTCCACGATGGCTTTCATTTGATGTAGCTTAGGCATGCCGCTCTCTGCAAAAAACTCAGCGTCGTTTAAAGCTTTGGAATCTGAAATGCTGTATGTAAAATTTTCTCGGGTTAAAAATGACTTTTAAAAATAAGTAAAAAAATATACCTGTTGAGAACACCAGCAGTCCTTTCAGAGCAAACAGTGCCAAGAAGGGCTGAGAGAAGCACACAGGCTGCGATAGGTAGGAACTTCATTTTTAGGCTTTTGAAAAAATAAAAAGTAAAACTTGGAAAAGTGTGGACTGAATAGAGGCCCCTCAAAGAAGTGAGCAGGTATTTATAGCCTTACTAGTGAGTTCCAGTCAGCCTATAGGCGGGAAGAGCGTTGAGGTGTAGAGGTGTAGTCACACCTAATCAACAGCACTTGTCACTCCATTGCCGGTGACATGTCCGTTTCTCAACAAGTCCTGCGATAAAACGCCATCGAAATAATCGAACCACTTGCCGTCTCCCAATCTGTTGACAACTGACTTTATCAGGTGTAGCCAATTCACAGCTGCGCGACAACAGACAAGAATGGTACTAACCAGATTGTGTCGCAAGAGAGGTACATCTTTGAAGTGTAGTGGTAGTGCCGCGTTTCAACTGAATCAAGGTAAAGATGATGCGGAATCAATTGAGAATATACAGTCTTGAGTGAAGAGATAGTGCTCCAACAAGTGGGCACTGTTTTTAGTTTTTGGTAGCTGGAAAGTTTCTGGTAAAATGCCCAATCAAAAAAGCAGATCAAGTTCAATGATGCTACCCAGGATGATGCCATATTGAAGGTGATTGATGGACAGGTGATAGTGTCCCAGGTCGACGGTGGCAGAGGAAATTTACCGAACCAGGAGGGGTAACCAGAGGAGGGGGCAGTTGTTAGTAGGAAGAACGGTGAAGTGCTTTGCTCTGCTCTCTCCTCTTGGAATGCATCCTTTGCCTTCACGGGTGGAGAACAAGTTATGGATGGCAGGGCCTTGATGGCAGGCCGAGGGTGAAATCACTTGACTGCGTGATTACCTTCTGATTAGGAAAGCTGGCTGCTCAATTGCCAGCACTTTGATTAGGAAAAGATAGAGCTAGGTGAAGGTGAGATCTGCTGGTTCTACTGTTGGTGCATTCGCTTCGTTCATTTTGCCGCTAATTGGTCGTAATAGTAATGAATGGCAGCGTAGCAGTAGACTGGGGATGGTGATGGCACAGTCCTACCGGTACCGACCTTGCACCGGACGCCAGAGAAGGACCATTTGGGGAGGACAACATCTGAAAAGGACACTGGAGAAAGACGGTACCTGTACAGATGTACGGTGGACAGTTGTTGTTTGTCGTCTGATGCGACGTGTCAATTGGTTTCGCTAAATATAGACACTCAAGTGCATCATCATTCCTCCATTTTATCAACAGTTTTGAATGAATAATAAGCAATTGAAGGTTACAGAAAAAGGCCTAACGGTGCACCGCACAACTTGTTTGTAGTGTGTGTTGTGGCTCTTTACGCTTTTGAAAGTGCCGGCAAGTTTATCCGACAACGAGGTTTTCACGTGAAACGAGGTCTAATTCCACTGAGTGTTCTCTACTTTTACCACCTTTCCATTGTGACAATCGACTGGTTTTTATCAGTTTGTAAACACATTAACACCTTTGCTTTGATCGCACTCACACTTACATCAATCACTTGATTAGCACACATACTCACACTTACCTGTACACTGACTTTAATGAGGCGCCAGTTTAACAACGTATTGGCGAGCTGATGATGAGCTGGCACCATCCGAGTTCATTCAATTAGCCACTTTTTGGCACAAGTATCGATACTGAGGCGAGAGAAGTATGCTGTCAATTAGCCATGCTAATGATGTTACCTTAGATAATGACAGTGGTCGACAGTTTGAGGGGGATTGCCGTTCAGAGGGGACATCGAACGACCACCAATGGTAAACTTCTCTGACATGTGGCGCCAGACTGAGACTTAGTCTGCCTTGGACGTAGTGGAGTTGTGAGCCAATGCTTCTCAGGCATTGAAAGTCATTTCTTAGAGAACGGGCAATCGGATGGAGGCATCAGTCGTGGTGCCAAGATGCTGTCCCATGAGTCACGGCTTTTGTTAGCAGATAAAACACCTCAATAAACAAGTCATTCTAAATGCATTATCACTGCGATTCAGTGATACGAGACAAGTGCGTAATTTTAAAGAATTGCAAAAAAAATTAAATTTTTGTAATAAATTAGACAAAACTGGTGCAAGCTTTTCGATGTAACAAAAGTTCACTGAAGTATGGGTAAAAGATATTGGCAAATATTGCCCATGCGCTGCAGTGCACAGCACTGGAGATTAGGCAACAACAAACAACAAAATCACTCAGTCATCAGTCCGCCTAGTGATCCACCTGTGTGCTCAGATTGTCTTACCTTTCTGCACTAACATGGAAGTGATCCTCAACAATGGAGTAAAGTTTCCGGTCATTGGAGGTGAGTGTGTCAGATCAGTAATAACTTCTACTAACACAGAGTGTTTTGGTCATCTGTTTTCAGTCGGGACGTACCTGATGAGCGACAAACCAATACTGAAAAAAATCATTACTGAGTCATTTAAACTTGGATATAGGTTAATTGGTAACTACTATCAAGGTGCTATCGATTTGTCACTTTACTTTTACTGTGCACATTTTGTTTCCGTGTTGCGGTGTTTCTATTTATAGACACTGCCCGTGTGTATCGAAATGAGGAGTATATTGGCGAGATTATGGCCGATCTAGGAAGTTATGGTCTCAAACGAGAGGAGCTGTTTCTAACGACAAAGCTGAGTATGTCAATTGGTTGATTGCTTATCCGATTACTACTAACTCTTTGCTTTCTCATGAACAGGTCCTGCTGATCAGGGCAAAGGCAACTGCAAGAAAGCCATCCTCGATGCTGTCAAGAAGCTTCAGGTAGCTTACATTGACTTGGTTCTGATTCATTGGCCTGGCTCCAGTAAACTTGCACATGATGATCCAAAGAATGCTGAAAGGCGTAAGGGTAGTTGGGAAGACTTAGAAGAGTTGCACAGTGAGGGCATTGTCAAAAGTATTGGCGTGTCCAACTATACGATCCGACATTTAGAAGAGATGATCAATGCACAAAATGGTTACGCAAAAATAAAACCAGTTGTCAATCAGGTACCTTTCTCAATTGATCGAACAACTTGATTAAAATAAAATCTTTTTTGCAGGTGGAAGTTCATCCGCTATTTTTCGACAAAGAATTGATTGACTTTTGCAGCAAAAACTCTATCGTAGTGCAGGCGTATTCATCGCTAGGTGCTGCAGATGGCTGGCCAGTGCTGGCAGAGAATGCAACTCTCAAACAAGTGGCCTCCAAGTACAGCAAATCAGTGGCACAAATCTTGCTGAAATGGGCTTTGCAGCATAATCTCTGTAAGTAATACTTTTTATAAATATTTTAACATCTTCTTATTGATGTTCATCAACTCAGGCATCATTCCAAAAACATCGAAAGTTGAAAATTTGAAATTGAATTTTGATTTGTTCAACTTTGAGCTTAGCAACGAAGACATGGTTGCTATTGATGCTCTCAATAAAAACAAAAAGTTTTGCTGGGATCCTTCCACAATTTGCTAAATTTTCACACATATTGTTTGTGAACATAATTAAAAACATTTGCAAATGATTTAAAAACCTAACGAAATAAAAATTCATGATTTTTGAAAACATAACACCTTATGTGACTGGGAGGCTTGTGTTGATATATTTTTTTATTTTCCAAAACCACATGTTTTGAAGTTTTTGTTTATTTCTGCTACAAAATATTCCGGTTTTGAAGAATGCTATTCCGATAGATTGAGAAATCGATTTCACTGTTTCCTCAAAAATGTCTAGAATCGTTAAGATATACCGTACCTTAAGAAATAACTGGAAGAAGACCGTTTTCTTCTCCGGTTTAGCGTCTTATGGTGCGAATTGGGGCTATGGAAAGTACATGTAAGTGCTCTTGAATCTGTAACTGAATGTGATTGAGTTTATTAAATATCTTTATTTTAGAGAGTTTAATTTAATGAAAGAATTTTCAGAAGAAGCAGTGGTAAGTAAAGTATCTTGGCAATTATTTAAGCATTATTCACCTGTTTTTCGTTTTGCAGAAATATGGTCAGATCAAATTGCCACCGTTTCTTCCAACACGGCATGTGACTGTCATTTTGAATCCAGTTGCTAACAAAAGAAAATCAAAAGCAGATTATGAAAAGTACTGTGCTCCACTATTCCATTTAGCTGGTCTCAAAGTTAGCGTCGTCACAACTGAAACTGAAGGACAGGCAAAAGATTTAACGGAAATCATGGACAACACTGACTGTATTGTGGTGGCTGGTGGTGATGGAACAGTTCATGAGGTTCTAACTGGTCTTCTGAGAAGAAACGATTCGCATATTGCATCAAAGCGGTTCCCCATTGGCATTTTACCAGTCGGTAAAAGTAACAGAGTGGCTTACAAGTTGAACAGCGCTTTTAATGAAAAGGATAGAAAAGCAAAGTATGTACAATCGGTTTTTTGTTTTTGTTCAATATTAAAAGTTTACAATTTACATAGAATCTTGGGAGAATCTTCAATGGCGGTGGTTCGGCAAGTACTCAGCTACATCGATGTTATGAGGGTAGAAGGTGACCAAGGTCGGCCCGTTTTTACTATCGGACAGCTGAGCATTGGCCAAATTCGAAATACGATCAGTAAACTAGATCAATATTGGTACTTTGGACAGACGATGAAGCCGTACTTGACATTTTTCTTTCAATCATTCAAGGTAACTTTCAAAGTGAGTAAGCATTGTTTTGACTTTTTATTATTTTTAGAATCTGGCCGAACTATGGGACGAAAAGAAACAGGTTGAGGTTTCCTATACAAAACCTTGTTCTGGTTGCTCAAAATGCTATCAACTTTACANGCCAAATTCGAAATACGATCAGTAAACTAGATCAATATTGGTACTTTGGACAGACGATGAAGCCGTACTTGACATTTTTCTTTCAATCATTCAAGGTAACTTTCAAAGTGAGTAAGCATTGTTTTGACTTTTTATTATTTTTAGAATCTGGCCGAACTATGGGACGAAAAGAAACAGGTTGAGGTTTCCTATACAAAACCTTGTTCTGGTTGCTCAAAATGCTATCAACTTTACACTGATTTACCGCAACAGTCAAGTGCCGACAGCTCGGTAACAGGCCAATCCTCCAGCCGATGGTGGCACATGTTTTTGCCACGTAATCGACCTCAAAATCAAATACCTGACCCAAAGGCTCTTGAATTAGAAAGAATGAAAAATACCGAGAATGACGAGTGTGACAAGTGGCAATCTTTAGAAATTAATTCAAAAAATATAATTATTCAAAATCAAATCGGCGACTCTGAAATTCAAATGATCATTCATCCATCTGACTTGAAGAGATCTCAATTTTTTAAAGAAGGGTAATGTATTAGTATTTTGGTAGTTCTCAATACTAAGATTGGTTTTTATTTTCAGAATTCGTATTTGCAAAAACAAGGAGTTCGAAGGAAACGGCGAGCCTCCATTTCAAGTTTTGAGCGGGAAAGATTACATTATCAAGTTGCCAGTCGTGGAAATGCAAAACTCTGAAATGCCTGATCAAACTGCAAAGCAGTCCAATGAGCTTGCAACTCAAATTGAAGAGCAACAGTTTGCAACAAAAAGCGCCATTAGCGAAGACATTTCTGGGAGCTTTGAACTGGCGGGGAAAGCACTCAACAGTCCAAACGCAATTAAGGAGCTTGACCAGGAAGAACCTGATGTGATAATGGAAACGGAGCCAAGTGCAGACCAGCCTAGTACAGTTTTAGAAGATGAAGTGGAGCAAAACCAGTGGTTTAGTATTGACAATGAAAGCTACGAGTACCAATCTACCCTTAGAATCAGCCTTCTTCCGCGAAAAGTGCAAATCTACCATAGCAGATAGAGAGATATGAGCTCAATTCTGTGTAAATTAATACTGCTGTCTGCTTCCTGTTTCACTTTCCTTTAGTAGTAAAAAACTTTTCGTTGCTTAGCATTTGAAATGCTTTCCTATGGGCGGCAGGCGAAATTGATTCGATCAGCAGAAAATGATGTAACGGTGAAAACGTTTCTTCTTATTTGACTTTGCTCTGTTGACTGCTTTTTTTGGCATTGCTCACTACAAAT